CTAACATCTCAAAGTATGCAAGGATGCCGTAGCCATCCTAAGTTATGAATCTTACAAAGAAGTAGCAATAAAATAATAAGGGCTTAGTAGATATTTGCGAGGTTTAATGTAATTGAGATATCTGAGACATGATAATTTTCTGATTTAAATGAACTGGGTTTGAAATTGAAGAGGCATGGGTAATTTTTAAGATCATTTCTTACTTGAGTTTCTATGACCCAATGAATTAAACCAGAGATTACTGACAACGGTCTTTTCAGAACTCCCTGGGGTCACTCTTACTTATTCTCTGAAAGAGAAAACAATTCCTAAAAGGAAATAGTGAGTTAGTCCAAGAATATTATAGCGGTTAAGAGCACACACTTTGAATTCTATAAAATGGGGATTATAAAGCTACCTCACAGGTTTATTAGACGAATAAAATAAGATTACATATTTTTAAATGGCTTAGCAAAGCTATCAAGCCACAAAAAGACATGGAAGAAACTTAAATGTATATGACTAAGTGAAAAAAGCCAGTCTAAAAAGGCTACATACTGTACGATTGATTCCGACTATATGACATTCTGGAAAAGACGAAGATATAGAAACAGTGAAAAATCAGTGGTTGCCAAGAGTTTGAGTGGGAGGTAAGGAAGGGAGAAGAGATAGAGAACAGGAGCTGTTTAGGACAGTGAAATTGTCCGATGCTATAACGGTGGGCACATGATACTATGCATTTGGCAAAACCTACAGGAAAGCACAGCACAAGTGTGAAACCTAATGTAATCTTGGACTTTAGTTAATCATAATATCGGTATTGGTTTGTCAGTTGTAACAAATATACCACACTCCTGCAAGGCGTTAATAACAGGCTGAAGTAGATTGCTAGAGCTGCCGTAAACAAGGACCACAAGCTGGGTGGCACAGCACTAGAGAAACTTAACACTCCACAGTTCTGGAAGCTAACAGTTCAAAATCAACGTGTCAGCAGAGACATGCTCCCTCTGAAGACCCCAGGGACAAGTTCACTCCATGCCACTCTCCCAGCTTCTGAAAGCGTTCTCCCCGTGCCTTCCCATTCTCTTCCTTGTGTGTGTGCCTCTTTGTGCCCAAATTTCCCCTTTTTATAAAGACACCAGTCATATCGGGATAGGACCCACCTTAATAATGTCATCTGAACTTGACTACATTTGCAAAGACCCTATTTCCAAATAAGATTTCATTCTGAGGTGCCAGGAGTTAAGATTGCAACATACTTTTGGTGGGAATACACAATTCAATGCAAACGAGAAAAAAACAAACAAACAAACAAACAAACCTACAGAGGAATGGGGGCAAGGGAGAGAGTGGAGAGGAAGGATATGGGAACTCTGTACTTTCTGTTCAATTTTCTTTTAAACCTAAAACTTCTCTAAGAAATCAAATCCGTTAATTAAAAACAAAAGTTTTAAAAAAGAGATCCAGCGCATAGTACATATTCAATGAATGTTAGTTACTTTTGGAAGCTGCATCAACTTATTCAAAATCCTTTACTCAACAAGTGTTATTCTCGATGTATTCCAAGCGCAATATTGATGCTGCCCCCAGACCCCAAAGACTTTTCCCCGCCCATTCAGCATTTGGTTTCTGATGATTTGAAGGTAGGTTATACTTAGCTTTGTCCACATGGCTTTTCCCACTAATACCTGAGTGCGTATGATGTCATGACTGAGAGGAAGGGCAGTGTGTTAAGTGATTCGAAACCTACAACACTGACTTATAACTTAATTATGGCAGCACAGGTATACCCCGTCTTAAGAAAATTCCATGTTGAGACTCATATTGAAAATACAGATATATCATCAGTAGATAATGATTCATCTGTCTTTGTAAAGTGTTTTTTTTTTCTCTTAACAAAAAGTCACATCAGAGTTCTTCAATAGCGTGACTACAAGCCCCTTAACCCCAAAACTGAGATTTTCATAAAACATTTCAAGGACCCATCTGTCATATACCTCGTTGACATATACCTCCGTTAGCCGCCATTCCTCTTTCAGGCTACTCTGTCCATTCGTGACACTCAAGAGCCCCACGGTTTACAGAATCTCTCTGCCTCAACATTTCGTCACTTCATTGGTTGAAAGTTTGCTTCCTAACCAATGTCGCTGGAAGGAATTCAGCATTGACTGGGGGTAGAAGAGGAAATGAGAGATTACTCTCTGGGGATGTGAAAGCTACTGCTTCCAAAAGATGGGGGAAATCATTTAAAATTCTATGCAGATATGGCTCTCCTTACATAGGGGACGTGCCAGAGAAGTTCTGGGAAGCTCCACGATGGAAGGGTGTGAGGATTAAGAAAGATCTTCAGCCCCATTGTGGTGTGAGACCAACAAAGAGCCATTTTTAAAAACCACACACCTTCTCTCCCCGACACAACACATACACATGCCCCAATGGAGGGTGATACCACACCGTACACAGGTAGAGGTGCTTTCTCCTCTACCTCAGGTATACCCACCACAGGTCCACGAAGGCGCTTGGCACTTGTCTACGTAGATGTTTATCTCTGTCTCTGTGTCTCTGTCTCTCTCTTTTCCCCCACACTCCAAGTGCCCATAGATACATCAGCAGCAGCATTCAAATGAGTAAATAACTGGATAGGTATAGAGATCTTTTATGGTTGAGAAAGAAAAACAAAGTGCTTGAGTTAAATAATAAAAGGTGAGGAGTAGGAGGAGAGAACAGGTAAGAGAAAAAGAATGCGTGTGAGTAGAGAGCCAGGGAGGCTGGCCAGCCAAAGTGACCCCACGACAGTCCGTTTCACTTCCCTTGGAGTACTTGAAGATGCTCCACCCGCTTGGGGATGTTTCCTTCGCCGCTGGGTTGCACCTCTAGCAGAGGTACAGGCGGAGAAGCTGGAACCCTCTTGCCAACAAGGAGCCAGCATGACTGCTTAGCTCGGTTGAGGGAGGAGCAGCACCCAGGAGCTTGGAGGATGCTCTTCAAGCTACTTGGATAAATTAAGAAAAGTGAAATGATTTGCTTACAGACAGACCTCTTTCTCCCATTTCTGTTTACTGCTGCTATAGTTATTTGAGAAGGGATTTATATACAACAAAAGACTGTATTTAATAAAAGAAAGAGAAGAGTTTGCTCTCTGACTGTACCCAGCATTCAGGGAACCGAGGACCCACTGCTCACAGAGCTGTCCCCACACGCTCTGCACTGTGCTCAGAACAGGCACCCACCCCAGAGAGCAGAACCCTCAGATGGCCTTTCAGGGGACCCGCGACTCACTCTTTTTTCATTCTGTTAACTATGATGAGACTTTTTTCATTCTGTTAACTATGATGAGATCAGGCTGGAAAATACAGACAAATTTCTTTATGGTAGATGAAATAATTTTTTTTTTTTTTAAAAAAAGGAAAACTGATTCTTTCCTTCATAACTAGCAAAGTCTTGGAAAATACTCTTGGTAAGAGTAAGATAGAAAAACATCTTCAAATTTAAAAACCCCAAACAAATACCAAAATTTGAATTTCTAAAAAAAAAAAAAAAAATTATAAGCAGTATAAATAATACCCCAGGGGAGGAAAAAGGAGGGAAAATTTAAATGTATACTTTTGTTTTTGTTGGTTGGGGTTTTATTTTTGTTTGTGTGGGTTTCTTAAGGGGAAAGTACTTGAAAATAAAAAAAAAAAAATCTGACAATTAAGAAGGTTCTGAACGTGGCTTCAAAATCTAAGTTTTGCTTTTTCGCTCCCTCAAAGATGCACGAGAGGATGGCTTTAGCTTTTGCAGCCTCCTTATTTTCTTATGCAGAGCAAATGGCTCGTCTCATGTGCACAGAAAGGGCTGGAAAATATTTTTTTGTGATCCGAGTGCAGCAGAGGGTCTAGAATTCCAGAGGAAGTGGAGGCCTCCCGCTCCACACAGGAAACAATCTTCAAGCAGGCCTTAAATGCCAGATTCCAGGCCGAGTTTAACTAACCACTGACAGCTCTGTAAACAAAGCAAGGACAAAAAGAGCCCGCTTCCCCTTTTCTGGTAGTCATTTTGGGTTTGGGGGCTGCAGGGGAATTCTGGAATACTTGACTCCATGGCACAGAAACACAGGGGAAGCAGGCTCCTCAGCTGAAAAGCTGGAGAGGGAAGATTTTTCTGGGATTAAAACCATCACGAAGGAGGTAGGAAAGGATAAAATGGTTGGGTTACAAGGAGCCGGGACTTTTAAGGTCTGGAAACAGCTTGGTCTTAACGTAACCACTTTTAGAAGTGCTGCTGCATTACGTTTATTCGTGGTATTATTTCTGCAGTCTTTATTATCATTCTGATATTAATATTCTTTTAGAATATGCAAATTATGCCTGGATACTCGTATTACTTTATTTCTCCTACTTTTACTTTTCTCTGAATTCCTACACATTTTTTTAAGGTCTGGAAACAGCTTGGTCTTAACGTAACCACTTTTAGAAGTGCTGCTGCATTACGTTTATTCGTGGTATTATTTCTGCAGTCTTTATTATCATTCTGATATTAATATTCTTTTAGAATATGCAAATTATGCCTGGATACTCGTATTACTTTATTTCTCCTACTTTTACTTTTCTCTGAATTCCTACCCATTTCCTTTTTTTTTTTTTTTTGCCACTTTTCTTTTTTCACTCTTGTTTTCTTCTTCTCTTTTGTTCACTTTTTTATAACTTGTGTCTATGGTTCAACAAGTTACAAAGAACAAAATCTTAAGTGATCTCAGCAATATTTCAAGTCTTTAAAACCTCTCTGTCGCCTGAGGTCTTTATTTTTTTAACTGTAATCCTGGGATCTTACTTATTTGTCTCTGATAGTTTCATGAATGGGACTGAATTTCACACTTAAAGGACTCAGCCTGGGGGAGTCAGAAACCGATCACTGGCTACTTCACCAGTCTTCTAAGGTGTTTTTCTTAAGAGGAAAGAGAAAATGAGAGGATGAAAAACTGTTGGGAGATAATAGCTCTGACTCATCGATGATATTGATTCTACCTCCTCCCCTTACAGGTCCAGACATCATCTGGTCTCCTTAAACCTGAAACCACACCATGGATGACTTTGAACGTCGCAGAGAACTTAGGAGGCAAAAACGGGAAGAGATGCGCCTGGAAGCAGAAAGGTAAGGATCTCGGTTGAAAAGTATTTATATTGTGTTATTAACAGTGTTGGTTTCAGGCCTCGAAGATCATCAGTCTGCAAGGTCAAATGTATTGCACTCAACTGTTTGCGAAAGCAGTTACGGAAAACTTTCCTGCACTTAAATTCTGCATTTAAAAAAAAAAAAATCAAGAAAAAGAGAGATTCGAGAAAGAATCAAATAGTTGCATTTGTTCAGTGCCTTTCATATTGGAATTTTTAAATGACATGGGCAATGTATGTATGGATAAAAGTTTAAAAAGCAGTTATGTGAAAATGACATAAAAACGACAAATATTGAATATTGAAAGCATTTAGGAAATGGGAGTCTTTAGTCTAAAAAAGTAAAGACAAAAGTCCCAGATGGATCTGGTGACAATTTGTATTCTTATCAGAAAAGCATGCAAATTCAGTAATCCACATATTGTGGGTTAAAACCCTGTAGAGTATGTTACTGTGGAGATTCGGAGTCTAGTTGGAAGTTATGTTATGTTGTGTGAGGCCTCTGTCACGGTGACTTCAAGGGCAGTTTGGAGAAATAAAAAGCAGTGACATACGAAGCACGAGATATAAATATTTTAAAATTTTAGGCCCCAGGACAAAGGACAATGGCATCTAATGTGGCTTAAATCAGATGTCCTTTGGAGAAAGCAGAGTAGGATTTCCTGGTAGAAAAATATTAAACAATCACCTTAACATCAAATCAGTGTTGCCTCACAGTAATTCCAATGCACAAATGAAAAGATGGTAGGTCGTAAGGCGATCCCTTAGGGATTCTGTAGTAAAAAACTGGAAAAAGTACTTTGGACCATAGGCGCTACTCATTTGTTTGGAGAATGCAAAAGAAGAAGGTAAAATTACTGCCTTTGATTAACTTGGTCAGAGTCGGCTGCCATTCTCGAAATGTCTGTGCACAAACATGCATGACACCATGAGTGGTTCCTGGGCTCTGTGGGTTCAAATCCCAGCTCTGTCACTTAGGATCCCTGTGGCCATGAGCAAGTGACTTCTGTCTATACTACAGTTGCCTTATTTGTAAAATAGGCATAATGTCTCCATAGTCTGTGTGGTTTTTGTGAAGATTATTGAACTCCGTAGATGGTCTAGCTCAGTACCTGGCATATAGTAAGCTTCCATAAACAGTGGTTGTTATTATTATTTTTATTTTATTTTTAACCATTCTATCATTAGCTCAACAAGTAAGAAAGAAGCAACATAGCAATATAGCCAGAACTAAATGTTAATTCCAAAAGAAGGAAAGGCAAATGTTATCCTGTGACGAAACTAGCCAGGAAGAGCTTATTAGCAGTGGTAAGCAATGGAGGAAGTAATGATGGTGGCGAAAAGTAAAAAGGGAGCCCTGTAGGTGGGGGAATCATACCAGGAAAAGCCCAGAGGTGGAAATAAGAATCCTGGTGCAAGAAATTTGTTGAGTCCTTGGAGAAGAACGAGCTGGACTTATACCTCCTAGGTGTTTCTAATTCACATCAAAGGCAACAGACTTAGCAGGGGGCTATGCATGATGAAAACATGTTGGAGAACGTTATCTACAGTGGACTAGAGTATGGGATACCAGCACTGGAAGACTTAGTATTGAATATACAGTAATAAGGGCCTGAATCAGGGCAGCAAATACAGAAATCAAGATCAAATATGAGAGTCTTTATTTGGGGGGAATTTCAGGAGACAGAGAAACTCGAAGACAAGTCTAAAAATATAAATCCGAGGAGCTGGAAAGAAGGTCTCTGCATTGTTCCAAGTGGGGAAATTGGAATGAGTTGCCATCTTGGGCGGGCATGGAGGGAGTGTTTAATTTCAGGTAGAAACCACATCCAAACAGAGATTTCCTCCAGGCATTTGAAGATGGAGATTTTCCATCTTTTTTCAGAAAGAGGGAGAAATTATTATTGGAGAAGTAAGTTTGGGTACTCGGCATGGCAGTAACAGTACAAAAGCTGGAAGCGGTGGTAGTAATTGTGCCAAGAAGGCAATGTGGAGAGACCGAGATGTCATAAAGACACAATAGAAGCCGTCAGAGAAGACCAAAAAAATCAAAGAGGTAAGGAGAACCAGGCGGAGTACAGGGGCACCGGTGCTGAGTGGACGCCCAAACCATGTAGACAGTGTCCAGGCCCAGTGGAGCATCCCTCTCATTCTTTCCAGTGATGTGTTGTTTGGCCTCAGGTTCTCCTGAAAGTCCATAAAAGACCTTTACCCAGCAAATGTTTATTGAGCATCAATCACGTTTCAGTGTCTGTGTTAGGAAAATAACGGCGAGATATAAATAGACATGGTTTCTGCCTTTATGTCCCTCATGGTAAGCTAGGAAAATGAAGCACAGTAGAACTAGGAAACAGATCAGGCCAGAGTATGGGGGCAGGCTCAATAGAATCGGGGCTAAAGGGACTCAGGAAATGAGGACAGGAAATTGGGCATCAGGCTGGGTCAGTATCTTCAGCTTCTTTGCTTTCGATGGGATAAGGAGACTTCTTAATGTGATGTAACAGGAAAGGTAAAACTAACTTGCTGTGGTACGAACATATTGTAACCAGTGAATCAACCAGGTTTCTTTAGAACCAGGATTTTGCCTAAGAATTTTCCATGTAGCTGCATGGTTCATTCCTTCCAGTTTTGTTATTGTTGTTTTTCTGTGCGGAAGGATGTGTCTTTCTGTCTTCATTTAATGTCAATCTTGAAAAGAAACATACTCAGTGAAGCTTAGTTAGGTACTCTTAATAACCTAAAGTAAATTTATATAAATTTATCCTAACCTTGTTTAACTTACATTTCTGTCTGTATTAATTCTTTTAGGGTATTACATTCTATCTGATCTCTTTTCTTTCTTTTTCGAGAGAAGTACTTACATACTTTCTTATTTTTGTACTAAGTTTACTTTTTCATGTTTCAAGGTGACCCTTCTAGTTCTGTTGTTCTGGGGTCTGATAAGTAAGCCCATGTTTGCCCTTTAGGATTTTGTAAAATCTGATCATTTATGGGAAGAGTAAAGTTCAGGCCCTGTGGTCCAGCCAACTTTGATAGTTCAGGGTGTGTACAGGAAACAGATGGCCAGAACCAGAAATCAAGGACCGCATAAAATCATGGTTTTGATCTGAAGATAAAGGGCATTTAAGACCTTGGGCAAGTCCTTCTTCCTTTAGCTTTAAACCTTGGCTGCCTCATCTGTAGCAAGAGTGGGCGTTTTCTTTGGGGGATTGATGGTAACTTTTACTTTTCTTTTGCTTTTTGTATTATCTAAATTTTTTTTTTACAGTAATCATATATTACTTTATTTAAAACCAAATAAAACGATAAGGTAATATTCCATTTTGGAAAATGTAATTCTATGTCCCTACACACCATACTCGAGAAGACCTAACTTTCTTGTGGATTTAGGGAAATCGAGAAAGAACTCAACCCAGATCTGGAGTGGTGGTGCAGTAAATTAGCGAAAATAGAGTGACCCCAAAACTCAGAGCTGCAGGTTCATTTATTCACTCACTCATTCAACAAAGTTTTATTAGGCATCTACTCTGCTCCAAGTTCTATCCTAAGCACTGAGAACAGACAGACAGAATAACCGAATCAAGAAGATGTTTAATGCTTTTCAACTTGTATAAAACCCAGTGATGATCAAGAAACTACATTTTTATATCTTCAAACATAATATGTATCCTGTATTGATTGATACTTATCAAAGAAGGCTTACACCCTTTGTACCCCTGTAGACTGTGTGGGGGAAGAGAAAGTCTGTTGATTTTCCATTTCTTACCCACAAAGTCTTTCCAAATAAAAATACTCTGTTATTTTAATTAGTCATTATTGTGTTTGACTAGCAGGTGCAGTTCTACTTTGCAGTGATAAATAATTTTAAACTGTACTCTCACCAGATGTTATAACCACAAATTAAAATAAGCCAGATTCTTATACATTTTATTCATGAGAAATAGATCTTTTAAAAAGTTATCTAAAGAAAGTTAATCACACACTTTGTACCGTGCTGGTTTTTGTGTGCTTGGGACTGGCATTTACTCACCACACCGCGGCCACTCTGAGACTGTTACACCCACACCTGATTCTGAGGGCTGTAGTCCAGTCCATTTCAAACGATCTCGCTTTCCATAACCCAGAATGTGAACCTGGTTAATCAAAACATTCTTCTGGTCTTTGGCCCACCCCTTAGCCTGTGCATCTTTTTGCTATTCACTGTGTCCTTGTCCTTCATTTGGCTTTCCCACTGAGTCCTTGAGATGAGGTCTTTAGATTGATTAAGAGGTATTTCATTTGATCATCAAAATATACATATATATATTGAATATCCACAAAATGCAAGATACTATCCTGAAACATAGGGTTGAGTGGGCACCAGTCCAGGCAGTATCTCAATAGTCACAAAGGTCACATCCTAAGTGGATTAGAAACTTTGAGCAAAAGGGCTAGAAAAAAAGTTCAGTAGGCAGAATGTATTGAGCAGATCATCAGTGAAAATCCTAAATGGATTATTTCTATGCAACATATACTATTTGTACACATCTCAAATTAAACTGTATTTTTAAATCAATTACCTATCTGAACAAACAAACAATTAATTTTGCTGTTTATTATTCTTTACCTAGCTCACAGTAAGAAAGAAATTAATAGGTATATTCTTTTTCCCTTTCTTTTTCTGTATTTTATTTCGAACCCTCTCTGCCTTTGTCTCTGTATTTCTCAGTGCATCTTAATATATTTTCCCTCGTCCATGGCATCTTCATCAACATTTGATTCACGTGTTTTTATATCTCCTCCCATCCATACACCTAATTCATCTACTCTGGATGATCTGTGCACCTGCTTTTGGATCATCTGGGAACAATATACTTCTAGTAGGAGACAGAAATACATTTTCAAAGGGATCAAATCCAGCTCTCTTCCTATTCAACAAGTACAGAACAATGCTAGGCCTTTTATGCGTATCTGGCAAAGATGGACTGCTCACAGCAACAG